CCTGATTAGGGACAGTATTACAACATAAAGTGGGCTCCTAAGGACAACATCACAACATAAAATTGGATAATAATGGCTGGAGACGGCTTAAATGGGTAATAAAGAAAAATTTAAATATAATTTAAACATGACAGCAAATGTACAACGTTTCGACAAGGTTTTGATGACAAAACCTTGGCGAAACGTTGTACATTTGCTGTCATGTTAAACTTATATTAAAGTTTTTCTTCATTACCCATTTAAGCCGTCTCCAGCCATTATTAGTCTCAAAGTGGGTTCCTCGTCATCGAATAAAATTGGATAATTAATAAGAAAAAAAAATCTATCTTTAGTGGTTCAAAAATGTTTTTAAAGGCTTGACATAACATAACTATTACAGAAGTTATAACTATTAAGTGATGACTCAATATTTCACTCAATATTTCATTATTAAGTGATGAAACTATTACAGAAGTTATAACATGTTATGTCAAGAAATGAGAAATCTTATCGTTTCTTAGAATAAGCCCTAATCTTTACCTGAGTTGTTGATAGGGTGTTTCCTTTGGGCTGAAAGCTTTCAGCAGCGGCTGCTATATCTGTAATTTCTCGACTTGGCCCCTTGGAGGTCTTGTCATCGGTGGTTTCCGTCTTTTCATCCTGAAAGACAACCAGGCCTTCAGTTTAAACACTCTTCTTAAAAATATTTAAAGCTTTACATACTCTACGCTCAATGACCCTGACCACCGGTTTGGAAAATGACTTACCAATAGAATTTGCATGTTTTTCCATTACATTATTTCACTAAAACATTGTATACAAGACTAAAATAAAATGTTTTATCTATTTTGGTTTACAAATACTATGCTTTCGCCTTATTCTTTAATCCTATCGTCATGGGAATCCTTTACTGTGCATGAGACAAAAGTTTATTAAAATACTTTTTGTTTATGTTATACCAATTAGTATAGCATAAAACCTAAGCTAATAATCCATATTTTAATAGTATATAAATTTTAAGTTCTTAATTCCATAAGGCAATATTTTAAAAAAATCCTGAATTTCCCCTAGTGTGACACGACACATTTTCTCTAGGTATCTTCTATATTTTATCAACCACCCCTCCAGTAGCTATGAAATTTAATGTAAAGAACTTATTATAAAATCATCAATGTTGAGACAAACCATAATTTTTATAGCCTTCAATATTGTTTGATTACAGAGCTATGAAATGGAAAATCAGACTCCCCCTGTCACATCCTCTCTTTCAAGAATTGTTAATAGTTCTCTCTTATGTTTAATTGTCACAATTTTTCTGGCTTTCTAACTACGTGACGAATTGTTCAAAATTCAGCCAATCTAATCAGTTTTCTCTGGGAGTAAAGTTTGAACTAGAAGCAAAATAGATAATTCTCTGTACAGAAAATAATTTCATATAATATGAAATTTGATAGATGAAAACTTTTGCCTACTATTGGTTACAAATAATACTTGAAAAAACAAGAAATAAAGTACTTACCCCCCGAGTATTCTTCTCTTTTGCTCTTGGCTATTGATGACACTTAACCCTACTTTTTTTATACTAATGGTAGTAATGCATTAAATAATGCACCAAAGAACAATAACCAACAGAACTTTTCCAGCTTTCTAACTATGCGACAAGAGCTGTTACAAATTCGTCCAAGCTATCCATTGTGATTCCCTTGGTAACGAAAGTTGTATTGCAAGTGAAATTGACGATTATCTGTTCAGAACACAATGTAATATAATTTGATATATGAAAACATTGGCTTTCTGTTAGTTATAGGTAATATATATAATTATTGGACATTATCTGCTTTTTGCTTGCTAGTATTCTGCATTATTTAACTAAATAAAAAACTTATTTAGTGCATTAGTATAAAAAGTAGGGTTAAGTTTCATTGACTACTGACAGCAAAAAACAAAGATGACCGGGTAAGTACTTTATTTCTTGTTTTTCATGTTTATTTTTCATTTATTATTATAAAAGTAGCTAAAATCTAAAAATTAGAAACATTTTAGGTTAGATTAAGTAAATAAAGAATAAAAAAACTGTTCCTGAGATAAGCTCGCAAATAGCTTGAGCATTACCAATTCAATAAGGTAATGTGAGCTACATGTTCAAGTGATTTACAATTTGTATAGCTGGAATATTACTGCGACACAGTAAAAAGGGCAGTAAATCAATAAAATTGGGAAATAAATATACATTATGCTACTTTTTTTCTTCAATGACCAAAAATTACAACGTGAAACCACAAATGTTTTTTCTGAATAGCTTAAAGCTTGTAACATCATACATCTATATATATTTATTTATTGTTTTTATTTTATTGATCTTTCAGCTGTCTAACTAACATTACAGAAGTTGCACATGGACCAGTATTTCGTAAAATACAATCACATTTCAGTTATAATACGTTGCATATGTATATATACTATTCCTATTTACAAATAAATTCTTCAATTTCAGTTTTTTTTTTCAAACATAGAACAGTAAATAAAGAAATATAGAAAACAATCTAATCTACTTACAATTTTTTTTCATACTTACTTTTCAATTAAAAACTAACTAATGTATAACCCTAAAATTTGAATGATAATCTACAATCTGATACCAAATTTACTGACATACATTCAAAATAGTAGTTCAATAAAATTTTGAATGTAAATCTACAAACATGATGACATGCCCTCTGACCCTTATTCTATTCGATAAGATTAAATAATGCATCTAAGAGCACAGAATAATAATAATACAATATCCAGTTACTATCGTAATTATTCTGGCTTTCTAATTATGCAATAAGAGACGTTAGAAATTCAGCTAAGTTCGTTAATGTATTTTCTGTGAGAATAAAGTCTGAACTGGAAGTGAAATAGACAATTCTCTGTACAGAAAACAAAGTAATATAATTCGTCATTAGTTAGCTTAAAACTCTGGCTTTCTATTGGTTGTAAATAATATAGTATTAAACGTCAAAGAGAACTACTGGCAATTTGTGAAAGAGAGAATGTGATAAAAAGTTGTGATGTGCACATTTTGACCTACCTATATTAAGAGTTAAATATATATGGTGTTAAATACCTGATCTTGTGCTTCATCCATATTAGCAAGGTATTCCATGCCTACATCTACATCCTCATAATTTGAAATGCTTTCTTCTTCTTCCTCTTCATCTGTTTATGAATCCAAAAATGACAAAATCAGTAACTTAGTTATAGTTTAAACATACACGAATAGATCCCAACTAAAGTAAATACTAGCAGAACTAAAGATTCACAAAACAAACCACAATAGACAGAAGTACAACTCAGATAGCAGCACTATCTTTTACACTATATAAACCATTACTAACCACTTTAGTATTAGCCAGCTGTATTATTTTGAAGCTATTGACCTGTTTAGTTAATCAAACTTTTATACCAAGTCATAACTTTAAACCGTTTGCTAGAATGAAGAATTTTTCAGAAAATTCTGAATTCTTAAAAAAAAATTTTTTTTTTTCATTGACTATTAAAATCTGGAACTATTTTAACCTTTTTGCAATTTTTTCAAATAAAAACATATTTCCTTTTAACAGTCCCAACAATTATAGCTAATAAACAACACATATATCAGGTTTTAATTAGATTTTTACACTCGGTAGTTCATGATCATAGGATACCTCTTCAAAACTTTGATTTTATACACACCTTTTATTAAAACACTACTCAAGTCAGACCTCATATCAAGGACCCCAAAACCTTCATGTATTTAACATTTTACCTTATGACTGGTGAAGTCAACATTTTATTATAACTCTTTTGAACTGCCAAACTGTACATTTTAGAAGAATGTCTAAAGTTGTAGTTTATGATACAAGTATTAACTTCTTTAGCACATGATCAAAACACATATATTCAGTTTTTAAGAATTACTCCTCTTATAATCTGGCTTATACATGCTGCAGTCCTACAAAACAGACCAATATACAGATATCAAAAACGATTTAATATTTTCTACTTAAAGATAATAATTACTACTTTTTAACTAATTAAGAATATAAAAGGTAAATTAATGTGGATAATTACAATTTTACTTCAGCTAAGAAGAATAAACTCTTTAAAAATCTGGTGCTGAAAATCAAACATTAGGTGTGGATGTGTAACATAAGAATATTTAGGAAAGATATAACAGGAGAAATGGACGTGATCCCCTAAAATGACCATGATATTGTAGTAATTTTAATTTTCTTCAGCTCAACTGCACTAAAGGGTTAATCTACAAGCACCTGTGTAAATGCATTCATATATTAACAGCTTATATTGCCACATTACGAGATACCTTGTTTCTGTGTGACAAGAATGGAGACAATAGAGACTGCACTGTAAAATTTATTCATTCTGAAGCATCCAGTAAAAGTAAGCTCAGATTTAAAATGAAAAAGTGACACCAGAATGGCCTACACACAAATACACGTACAGTTTAAGCTAAATACTGTAAGCCCATATCTTGTCCAACATAAGATTAACTTGGTTTAAAGCATATGTTCACAAGTTAAGATTATGAGTTTTTCTTCACAACATTTTAAACCTAAAAGATCAAATAAATCAGTTTTCAAGACATAAATATATCATTAGCTGGTTGCTAAAAAAATGTTAACTGCAAGACTCAAAACTAAACTGCCATATTAATGTAAATTGAATGTATTTTTCTAAACTGAAAACTTAAAAAAAGTCCTACAACCTTCGCAGGAGTTTGTTTAGTAGCTGTACATAGATTTTGGAGCAGTATACCTATCCGTATAATTTCCAACAGTGTTTTCTAGGAAACCGTACCTAAACTTTATAAAGAAAGCATTAACATAAGGATACTACACATACCAAGTTCATCTTCACTTTCACTTGCCAGACTCTCACCAGACTCTGGAATTTCAAAATCACTTGCATATGCACCTGCATATTTTTCGTAAAGTTCTTCAATAGAACATTCCCCTGCAAGAAGTTATCAGAAAGTTAAATCATTTCAACATTAGGTACATTCTGAAAATCGCCCCAAACATTGTTGTTTTTCATAACCATTTTAAAGCACTTCACTTATTTACGTTCTATAATAGTTTACACGACAATAGTTACTCTCCAACTCAGTTTTATTAATCCATCCATAATGTACAAATACAGAAGTTCTAACCAAGTGTTGTTTTTCTCTACAATCAATACCTTCTTGTTGCAGTTCTTTTAGTTCTGCTTCATAGTCTACATTTTTCTCTTTTATCTCTTGTTCTTCTAATGAATTTTCATCATCCTCTTCTTCTTCATGGCTCACAACCTGGAACTCTTCATCATCCTTAGTTTTCTATACAAAAAGTAATAAATTAGTATTTCAGGAATGGCATAAAAGACTACAATATCCAAAACATGTGAAACTACTAGAGTTACCAATGAAAAAAAAAACTATTCCTTTAAAACCTAGTTGACGAGTCAATGTGATCAAATTAAGAGAACTGGGTGGGCCACAAGGAGAGGTGTCAAGGTTTCGAGTTAAAAAACAATATGTAATCTTATAAAGAGTTTGATCTGTTAATTTTAAAATTTAAATCTCTTCTCAAAATCAAAAGAATACCAGAAAGCTCTTTTGGGAAATCAACCCATCAAACATGACTTGCAAATTGAGTGTTAATATTGACCATATTTGGTATTTTAAAATAATTAATAATCTATTACAATAGCAAACTTAGCTTATTGATCTACTGATAACACAGGTCTGCAATGGTTCTATTGTCTTGAAATTTTTACGTTCTACAGTAATTCATGTACGCTGAATCCGAAAACGATATCCATTTTTCTCCATCACGTACAGATTTTTCACAAAACATCATATGTACTTTTACATAAGTGAATCATTTTCACTCAAATCGGGTCACATTTTGTTATGCTTAAAATGTTGACAACCACTGGCTTTAGATTTCTCTACACCAAGTGCGACGTGAGAGTTTTATCGAGCATTCTCGAACCCACGACAAACACACCACTAGGATATAAACAGTTAACGGGCCGCATGACGTGTCATTCCTGGATAGTATTTGTTTGTGCATGCACTTTGACATTATTTTTTCTTTTCAATATTAGTTATTTGTCGCTGTGGCAACAAGAGGTTGTGTAAATGACCCAAACATATTCTGTTATATATGTGGTAAATTTCTTGTACATTTGACATTATTTTTTCTTTTCAATATTCTTTGTTATGGCAACAACAGGTTGTGTAAATGACCCAAACATATTCTGCTATATATTTGTTGTAAAGAAAAAAACAAAGGCAAAACATTAAAGTCTGCACCATTTGTGTCGAAGAGTTGAGACAATGGACTAAAGGTGAGAAAAAGTCTTTGCCTTTTGGAATTCCAATGGTCAGACTCGAGCCTAGAAACCATGGAGATGACTGCTATTTTTGATCATGTAACATCAAAGGCTACAACACTCAAAATAAAAAGGAAATTTCTTATCTAAACCTTCAATCTATCATAGACCTGTTGTTCATGGACCTGATGTACCTGTAACTACTCCATTGGAGACTCTTGATACAGTTTCATCTGATTCTGATGTCAATAAAAATGATGAAATCTGAAACATCTGATGAACCACAACTTTTCACACAAGGTGAACTTAATGATTTGGTGAGAGATTTGGACCTTCCATAGGATTCTTCAGAGATTTTTGGGTCCAGAAATCATGAAAAAATAGTTTATACCATACTTTTCACAAGTAGGTTCACTGGTTTATTGCAACAATATTACTGAATTAATACCAATGCTGCAGTGTATGAATCAAGTGAGTGGAGATTGTTCATTGATTCCTCCAAAAGAATTCTAAAAGGTGTTCTACTTCACAATGGTAACATACATGCATCTGTTCCTATTGCTCATTTGGTTCACTTGAAGGAAACATAACAAAATCTCGAACTTCTTTTTAATAAGGTCAAATACAAAGAACATAGTTGGAAACTCTGTGGAGTCTTTTAAGTCCTTTGTATGTTTTGGGTCAACAATCCAATTATACAAAGTTTCCACATTTTTTTGTGTGAATGGGACACAAAATCAGCACTGGAAAAAGAAGCAATGGCCACACAGAGTCAGCCTGATATCAGGATCGAAAAACACTGAATGTGTAAGTTTGGTCGACATAAAGAAATTCCTATTACCTCCACTTCACATGAAACTGGGCTTCATGAAGCAGTTTGTAAAGGCCTTAAACAAACATGGCGACTGTTTCAAGTATCTATGTGGGCAATTCCCAGCTGTTTCAGAAGCAAAACTTAAAAAAGGGATTTTTGTTGACCCTCTGATTAGGAAATTGACTTTAGATGAACAGATCGAAAGGACAATGAGGAAAGTTGAAAAAGAAGTGTGGATTGCCTTTGAAGATGTTATTAACAAATTTTTAGGAAACAACAAGGACCCAAATTACAAAAATATTGTCAATAACATGCTCGATAAATTTAAAGAGTTGCGTTGTAATACGAGCTTGAAAGTTCATTTCTTACACTCACATATTGACTATTTCCCTGAAAATCTCGGTGCCGTCAGCGAAGAACAAAAGGAAAGGTTTCATCAAGAAAAGAGGGAAATGGAGATGAGGTATCAGAGAAGGTAGAACATCAGCATGATGGCTGATTACTGCTGGTCATTCAAACAAGATGCTTCAGATACAATACATAAAAGAAAGACTACAATAAGTAGTTTTGAGACTAAAAGATGTAGCTTTCACATAAAAAAAATCAGAATGATTGAGGATGCATATTCATTTGACATCAATTTTCTTCCCTTTTCTCCAATTTGTTTGTATTTTTGTTAAGAAATACAATAAAAAAAATGTCATTGTGTTAGATGAAATAATTTGATATAAGTAAAAGTTTTTTTCCTGATTTGTAAAAAATTGTTACATGATAGAAAAAAATGAATATTATTTTCAAAATCTACAGAGCTGAATTATGGAAAATCTGTTATTAAAACCCAAACAACTTTTATGAAGTTTAGTTTCACAGGACTGTGTAATGGAGGGATGGTTAAAAAAGAAATTTTACTTCAACTGAAATGAGGTACAGATCACAATACTACAGGAGATAAGAGTTAAACCACAGTAAGATATTTAGTTTAAATCATTCCAAACAATGTGTTAAAATTTAGGCCAACCTTTGCATTTTTAACGTCTACACTGGACATTCTGCTCTTATCTTCTGTTTCACTTTCAGTGGCTGTTTCTTCCTCATTAGTCAAAGGAGCAGGTTTCTCCAAGATTTCAGCTGGTAAAGTTTTCAGTAACTCCTCAATTGGGACCTCACTTTCTTTCTGAAGAAGATCTATCTCTTGGTTCTGCTCTTCTTCATTGATACCTGCAGCTTCTTCCCTGTCAATTGTTTCTTCGTCATCAGAACTGCTGCCTTCGGGCCGAAATTCATCTGCAACATTTAATGCACAAGTGTAAACAAAAAGTTCATTGTCAGATTTTGCAACAATATTTAAATGCAGTCACGTGAGAAACACATTGCCAAGTTAATGAAGGTTTTAATTTTTTGGTTCTTTCATCTATAAATGTTTAAAAAACATTGTCAAGCAAACAAAAACAAGAATCATCAAGAGGATGATGTGCAAGTTTGGACTAACTTGGACGAAATAGAATGAACACTTTTTTTACTTTTCTTAACTGCATGCTAAGCAAGCAACATGCTCACTAACAGGATAATGAACACATAAAATCCTGACTTTTCAACACCAGCATGAGGAAATCCATCTTAAAAAAATAAGCAAGCCATAATAAAGAATTGGTCCAAGAAATTCCTAAAAACCACTTTTCTACTGAATGCCGAGCAAACAAATCTGATCTGATGGCTGATAACAGTGATAGTAAAACATATGATACAGCATCACATGAGAAAGAAAAAGTAAAACTTAAAACTGTAAATTATTTAGTATATATCGCTTTTTAACATTTTCGTTACGGGCATTTTTTTCTATGCACATCTTGTTTGTCTGTAGTTTGGCCCACCACGAGTATCAAAACCCAGTTTATAGTGCTGTGGGTCTGCAAACATACCGCTGTGCTACTGGAGGGCCTGTGAATGTCATGAGGTTTTAGTGAGTTCCATTCAAAATTTTAATTAGACTACTCTGTTATCACTGTATATGAAAACATTTGACATAAAAACATAGCTAGTCATCCAAATTTTAATCTTATACACGTTTTACATTCTTAGTTTTGTAAGGCAATATAAAAAAAAACAAAAAACAATTTCCCATTTTCTCTCAAGGCATTCCCTCTTCTCTAACATATTTACCCCCCCCCCCAAGAAGTATGAAATTTATTGTAAATTAATCATTATAATGTTGTCATCACTCAGGCAAAGCATAATTTTTATAGCCTTCAATCTTATTTGGTTACAGAGCATTAAAATAGAAAATCAGACCCACCCATCTTGCCACACCCACCCATCACATCCTCTCTTTCGTAAATTGCCAATTGTTCTTTCCGACATTTAATAATATATTATTTATAACCAATATAAAGCCAAGGTTTTAACCTATTAAATGACATATTATATTACATTGTTTTCTGTACAGAGACTAGCCTATTTCGCTCCCAGTTCAAACTTTATTCCCAAGGAAAACACATCTTCAAGCTTAGCTGAATTTTTAACAGTTCTTGTTGCACAGCTAGAAAGCCAGAAAAATTTTGATAGTTATGAGATCTTGTCTATTTTTTGCATGTGATTATTCTGTGTTATTTGGTGCATTATTTAATTAAATAGAAAAACTTACTAAGTGCAGTAGTAACGTCAGTATAAAAAAGTAGGGTTAAGTTTCCTCGACAGTTAACAGCAAAAAACAAAAACAAATAAAACCAGTTAAGTGCTATATTTCTTGTTTTTCATGTGTATTCTTTATTATTATTATCATAAAAGTAACTAAAATGTAAAAATGAGTAGCGTGAGTTATGTAATTTGATAGGGTAATGTCAGCTCCATGTTCACCAAGTGATTTAAAAATTTTATGGCAGAAATATCAATTAAACACGGTTCAAAAGATATTAAAACAATAAAATTTACTTAGAAACAGATATATAATGTTACTAGGTTTAAGCTATTTAGGCTAAACAAATGTAGTTTCATGTAATAATATGAAGTCATTCTAGAAAGAAAAAAGGGTAATTTATATATTTTTAATTTTTGTTTTGGTGAATACGAGGTCCGTCAAATCGACCAACCTAGTATACAATTAGGGTAGAGAAATAACATTTTAAGTTTTACTAAAAAAAAAGTTTGAAATTTATTTGAGAGGTTTTGGAAATTATGCAAATGAAATTTGAGATTTTTCAGAGGAAAAGTATTTTTAATTTTAACATGAAAATTGCCTTGCACTCAGATCAGTCAACAATTTTACTCCATGTATTCATGGACAAATTTTTAGTGAAAATACTTATTAAAAATTCTGATTTTTTGTATACAAATGATCTAATGATTATTGAAAGCTTGTGAAATTTCATGAAGATACATAAAACAAATTAGAAATTATAGTATGGAATCCATAGAGATAAATTTTTGTGGTTACAAACTCTGTCAATTAGACTGTGCTTCTAACAAGAGAGTTAATGAATAAAATCTGTGAAAAATCAGTAATGAGGAAGAAAAAAAATAAATGTCTATTTCAACAAACAGACAGGAGAATCTGAAAACCTCAGACAGAACTTCAATATTTACAAAGAAATAAAGTTTAAGTGTTTGTTTTGAATATTAGTGAAAATTACACAAGGGCCATCTGAACTAATTGTACACAAGGTAAACCAGAAAGCAGATAATCAGCAGTACACCACTGCCAACCCTTGATCTATTCCATTCATAAAGCAGGATTTAACCATCATCTTGATAATGCATCAATGGCCACACAATGTAGAGCAAGAATTTCTAGCAATGGTTCACAGTCCAGTATACTGGGCAATAACTGGCCTTAAAATGAGACTCAACCCCCCCCCCTTTTTCTCCCGGTCAAGGTGTCCTTTATACCAACAAAAGCTCTCAGAATATTTGAGAATATACTAATGAAGACTTAAAAAATGTGATTGATCAACAACAGTCTATATCAGCAACATGTCTACTGTAGGTAATGTGAAGCATTCATAAACTAGATTAAATTATAATTTCAAGTAGTTTTAACGATTCAATAATACATGCCAAATTTTCCCCCATGATACACAAGCCCATCAGTATCAGCGACCCCTAGAGGACACGTGTAACTGCCTACCAGTGGCAAATATACTCTATCCCTTGCCGCGATGGCTTGATGCACGTGTAAATAAAGTTGGCCCCATCAAAACAAGGGCCACTGAAGCATGATCCCTGCCAGCATCCATGGGGTGCAGGGATCTGTACTAGAATGTCATAACTCAAGGGTTTGGTTATCAACTATAAGACTTGTATGCTACTCAATGTGACTGCAATTTAAACATACAGTTTGCTGGATCGTAATTCAATCATTAAAATTACTAAACTGATTGCTACAATCTGTTGCCACACTCAAATCAACTGATATTGTACTGTGTGTATTTTACCATATCCCGATACGTATTGTAAAATAACGTATCATTTACAGCTACACAACTTTTATCTAAACTATCATGTCTTTTAAGTTATTCTTACATGGAAAATAACCAAAACCTCAAAATACAACAACATTTAAAATGCAACCAACTGTAACAACAGAAAACTAAAAGCCAAAGTTTGAGTTTATTTTAATAGATACTCGAAGTAACACAAGACACCAATTAATGAGCAGAGACGGACGTACCAACAGATGACCCTGAAATGGGACTAGATGTTCTAGATTCTGGCACAGATGAAGCTTTACTATTGACTGAGCTATCACGAATACTTCTGTTCATTCCTTGAGTTAACCAAGAAGAGTACTTTTCTGTCTGGTCCACAATAAAATTCAAATGCAGGTCTAAGGCTTTCTTTCTTTTTTCTTCGAGCCTTGTCTGTGTCTTGTACTCTACCAGCTTAAAAAAAAAACATCGTGCTTAAATTTTAAACTTCAATGATAAATTATACAACAGACGTATTCAGAGAAATTTAATTTTAATAAAAACACAACTATTAATTCTCAGAATAACATTTATCCCAAAATAACCAAAACCTCGGTTTTGTCATAAATAATTGGAATTTGCTAATCGATTTTGGATTAGCTGAATAACCTTGAATTAATCAAAAATGATAATGAAAAATCACTATGGCAATATTTTGATTATGTGAGTAACCAGAATAATAAGACGTTACTTTAAGTTACATGATTATTTTCATGACACTTATCGACGTAACCAGAATAAATTAAACTCATTCAAAAGCAAGTATTTGTGGAAACTTATAAATCCCACTGCCTGCGAGATATTAATGGTTGTTTTATGTATTCACACCCACTTTTGTTTCTGCAACCTAGCTATACAGATTTTTTTTTGGAAACTTGTAAAAAAAAATATTAAGCTTAATGAAGAACAGCTTGTAAAAGCAAGTCCAAGAATATTGGTAAGTACTAAATACCTTGTTTTTTAAGTATATTTTCATTTATTGTTATATATTTTAACAAAAATAACTAAAACGTAAAAAAGTATTAACTTTTCAATTTAGCAGAACAAATATTCCAGGACTAATTTTTAAAATTACAATATCACAACTACATAACATACAGCACTAGATCACGTACTGTTTACGTAATGCTTTATGTGAAACAGCTAATATGATTTATTGCTTGAAGGAGTAGTATGTGTCCAAAGAACAAGGAATCAAATCGAAAGAAAAAAAAAAGCATAACAGTTAAAACTATAAAGAAATTTGGAAATCTGAAACAAATCTTGTATTCGATAAAAAGAAGAAAAAAAAAGTATTAATAATTTGACTTCATAATTTTAACTTTTCATTTAACTGTACACTGGTGATTTCCGTACAGTTAGTGTTAGGGTAGAGAAAATAAGAAATAATCCATATATGTAAATTAAATATGAAAAAGGGTATTTTTCTTATTAACATGAAAACAACCTTTCATTCTGTAAAGATTTTGAATATTCACATACAAACCTAAGAAAACATATTTAATTTTTTTATTTTTATGCACAACAGACTAATGTTTACTAAAAGTTTTCCAAACTTCACCAAGATAAACAAAAGTACAGTACGAATTGAATTCTCACTATTTGGAATGTGGCACCAATGTAATTAAAAATCTTCAAAGCATATTCAAACATTGTTTTAAACAACTACCGTATTTGGCCTGATTATAAGGTGTGATTTTCATTAATAATTAGGCTGTAAAATTCAGTCGCCTTGTAATCACGGCCGATCACAGGCCGCCCCCCCCCCCTACTCTAGTCTCTCGCATTCTCGACGTGCGCTACATGTTCACTCAAGGTCATCGCTAATTCTTGCAGATAGTCCACCTGCAGGCTGTTTAGTTATAAAAAAGGGACCTAAAAAAGGGATATTATGACATACAATTGTTTTTCTTTCCAATGGTTTCTGAAAATGGGGGGTGGGGTTGCCTTATATTCAAGATCGCCCTATAATCAGGCCAATATAGTATATTTGTCATGAGACATCAGTATTAGGCTTATTATATCTTTTTATACAACATTGTTTATTCAGTCCATTATAGTTTTTAGATAGAAGTGTTCATAAATGTACTATTATACATTTTTTTTATTTAGAAAACCACCAAAATGTGAATCGGCGATTAGCCAGCATTTACTAGTGAACCCGACTTGTGCTGACAACTACATGGATAGCAGGTTTGAAATTATTGCAAATGGTCAGTCAACATTTAATCTCTATATTTTGGAAGCCACCTTTATTAAAACATATAAACCTGTCCTTTGCCGCCAAAAAGAATTCCTATACAATCTACACATCCTTCAGTAGGTCTGTGACATTTCCTGATTGGCTAAAAGACATGCCAATCAGTGATTGCCTTACCGGCCTACGTTGATCTGAATCATTTTATAGGCTGTACTAATTCCTATAGATCATTTACCAAATGGTTCTGCTATGATTAGTGTCTGGCAAAAAGCTTCAGCAGATATTTCCTTTGCAACATCTCAACCAACAATTGGTCCAGTTATTAATGCTATTTTCAAGTTTTGAACAACTCGACTTTCAAGATCTACATATCTACATGAGCCGATGTTTCCATTTGTGAACGTTATATTTTAAGATCTGTGCAAGAACTAAGCTAACATATGTTTCTGTATGTCAAAGCTATCTTCAAGTTTTGTACAGAGAAAATTCTTTTCAAAAAATGTTTTGAAAAATATAATAAACCAATTACTAATGTCTTGTGAAAAATGCAACTGATTAGAATCATGCTTAAAAACAGCATTTACAATTGTTAATGTTTTCAAAAATATAGCAAATTGTATCCAGTAACAGCTAAAACAGATTTAAATCACACCTTTTCAATATTTGCCCAAAACTGTTTGATTTCTTTGGCAACTTGACCAGCTATTCTTTTAAGCCTTTGTAGCTCTTCCTTCTCTGCCTTTTCTGCTTTCATCTGTCTCTCTTGATGATATTTGACAACCATTTTTGCACACTGAAATATAGAAAGCAAATGCTAAACCAAAACATAACGGACAAGTGCAACTGAATAAATAATTGTATAAAAAAGATAATCCACACTTCTTGTTTTCATGACAACTTTATCGAGACAAATGTTTAATGTAGTGCAATGGAATGGAAATTTTAAAAAGTTAAAAGAAAAAAACAACTATATCATCAAGTGTCCAAAAGACTAACACAAACATATTGCACAAACCTTTTTAGCAAGTGTCCAAAAGACTAACACAAACATATTGCACAAACCTTTTTAGCAAGTGTCCAAAAGACTAACACAAACATATTGCACAAACCTTTTTAGCAAGTGTCCAAAAGACTAACACAAACATATTGCACAAACCTTTTTAGCAGCAGCCTTCTTCCATTTTCTTTCTTGTGCAAAATCAGTTGCTAACCACACCATCTCTTCTAACAAATAATCCCAGTGGGCCTTTGTTCTTGGAGGTTCCTGAACCTTTGGTAATCGCTTTGCTGACCACAGGCCTTCTTTTCTTAATTCTGATATTCTCTGTACTACATATGCTTCCTGAATAAATGAATAAAAATTATTAACTGATCACAAAACTTCGTTTCTAACAGAAAAAAAAATATCAAGTTTCATGTTTACTTAGTAATTAATATTTTTATATATATTTCAGCTTACGATGATATTAATCATACCAAAAACCGGGTTTTTATACATTCGGTGTTGGTGATCTTCTTCTGTGTCAGTACTTCTAAGGATCTTTGAATTAATGGTCTAAAGAAGTGAATGATAAATCAAAGCAGATTTAAATCTAGTGGACTTTGTTTTTTTGATATGTCAAGTTGCCAATATTTTAAAAGTTAATCCTAAATTATTCCCTCAGAACTAATTTCTTTTACTCAAATCTTAATAATATGACGGCATACTTTCCTAGCATCGAGTTTAGTTAACCCATTGACTGGGGTTTCTCTAAATGTTTGCAAGCCATACATGGCATGCTCACATTCTACTGCCAGAGGCAGACCGTATTCTATATGGCATATCAGCAGTCAATGGGTTAAAGACTTTTTTTCTTTCAAAAAAAATAAAGATTGACTTTTTATGCTGCAATTTTTCGATGAGAATCAAGTAATACAATCTCAATATGGACTGTTCTAGACCACATGTCTTGAAGCAGAATGGGAATTTCAGCAATTAATTTAAAATACATACGCACACACAAGAAAACAAAAACGTTTCCTTTTGTTCAATATAATAGCAGTTAAGTAGAAGATCTGAAAAAATAACTCACACCTGCTTATTGTTACATGAAAAAAATATTTGGGAGTAAAGTTGTGAAAAATCAGAAGCTAATCCTTCTAGTGATGCATGTACATTAAACATGTATAGATGAAACATGTTTTGTACATGCATCACTAGAAGGATTAGCTTCTGATTTTGTCCCAAGTATTAAACATGTATTGATGAAACATGTTTTACTTGGGACAAAATCAGAAGCTAATCCTTCTAGTGATGCATGTACATTAAACATGTATAGATGAAACATGTTTTACTTGGGACAAAATCAGAAGCTAATCCTTCTAGTGATGTATGTACATTAAACATGTATAGATGAAACATGTTTTACTTGGGACAAAATCAGAAGCTAATCCTTCTAGTGATGCATGTACGTTAA